CCCCCCCCAATTATCAAAACCTCTCCCTCCAACGGTGAGCCTCTAATTAATTTGCGCGAGCGTATTATATCATAATCACCAGAGACGTTGTCCCAATAAATTCTTAACGTGGGCATTGTCGAAAGCCAGTCGCTACTCGTTCTTCCCTCACTTCTGCCCTTTGATTCTTCATAGAATCCTCCCTTTCATTTCTTTTTTAATCAACGTAGTGTTGCTGCAAGTTGGCTGGCCTTAACCCCTACTCTCGAGATAATCAGAGATTAAGAGGCCCAGGAGCACTGTTCACTGCTATTTAGTCGCATACTCTTTCGGTTAATATTATGTTTAATTTTTCGGTCATGTATTATCAATTGTTGTAAATACACTTGTTTTCACCATTTCCCTCCAAGTAACTCATTCCTCCGGCAAAACCTGTTTTTCATCTTTCAGGCCCTGCTTCAATTTAACAAATTAAAGAATTCTCCCCCCAGAGAAGCATTTTCGAGAGAAACGGATTTATCGTGACAGGGCTGGGAATTATTTTATATTACTTCGGCGGCCAAGGTCACAGTATTTCGGGTGATGGGTTTTTAAAATATATAGAAAAAACAAAATTGTTGGGTGATTACCATTTATTGCACTCTCTATCTTTTTTACAGAATGGCAGGATATATTCCATTTTGATTGACTTTCGATGTGGCTGAAGAAGCACGGGTTGAACTCCCCCTCCAGGAAGGTGATCTCCAGACGTTTGGCAGCAGCAGACTCACGGTATTTCTCCAGTTTGGATGGATCCTGTTGGAAGGCGCTGGACAACCGTGGTGGTAGATACATGATGCACTCATCATTTGGAGCGACGACGACTTTAGCACAAAATTTAGTTGAGATTACCTTCAGATCGGTGACTAAATACTTATGGTAGAGTGACAGCTCCGTTCGACGTTTGGTTGGCAGGAAATTCCCTTGAGTTGCAATTTTGGTGATGTCATCGAGATCGAGGGATTGCTTCTCCATTTTGATTTATTTTGTTCTCTCCTCGAATCACTTCGTCTTAGAAAATTTCGTAAGACCACACTTATAGGCTGGAGACTCAATGATGAATCAGTTGATTTACTCCAGCTACTTATAGGCTTGTCGGATGTGAAAGAGATATGCAATGATGACTCATAATTTTAACGTAAAATCAACAATCAAATTTTTCGCAGAAACTCAATGATTTTCATACTTCCTAGAAATTCATGAAAAAATGTTAATCACTCGATCTAACGGTCAAATTTTTCGCGGAAACTGAATTATCTGCATACTACTGAGAAATTGATGAAGAAATGGCAATGAATCGATCAAACTGAAACTTTATGACACATTGAAACACTCACAGGCAATAATATAAATTGCTCTATATTTTCCTGGGGATTATTAGTCTTATTTCAAGATGGAACGTAGCACCATTGTGCGCTGTTCCAGAATAATTGAAATTTTCAAACATGCCGAATCAGAATGCTCAATCTCAAGACATTCAAGAATGGATTGATTGATTTGCTTACTATATTAAATTTTCTAGTCGAGTTTTGAAACGACGAAATAATCTATCGGTTGGTGATGCGCAAATAGACAACATCGAGGTGGCCGTGTGCAGGTGCCATCTCATAGCAGAGAAGAAAAAGCACTTACAGATCGTGTACGCTGGAGAGATGGACCATCAGCTTTTCACAGTCGTATTCGCACGGGCATTGTCATCAATCTTCAACCTAAGGATCCAGCTTCCTTTTTCCATAATGCAAAGCAACTGTCAACAGCACATCCTTCATACGGCAAACATTTTTACATCATAGAAGGGAAGTTTATATAGCGTTCCACATTCTATTTGTGACGTCATAGGAGTCGTTGGATAGGATTTGGATGAGGTAGGAAGGGGAACAGGATAATTCTCCATATAATTTTTGCGAGAAAAATTACTGAAAAAATGGATAGTCCAGACCGGGACTTGAA